CCGCCGAGGCCCTGGAGATCGGCCAGCAGATCAGCCAGCTCACCGGCGAGTGGGCGGACCACGAGCGGCGCAGGTCGTCGCTCGTCGTCGCTCGTCGTCGTCGCTCGTCGTCGCTCGTCGTCGCTCCTCGTCGTCGCTCGTCGTCGCTCGTCGTCGCTGTCGTCGTCGTCGTCGTCGTCTTCGTCGTCGTCGTCGTCGTCCTGTCGTCGTCGCTGGTCGTCGCTCGTCGTCGCTCGTCGCCGCTCGTCGTCCTGTCGTCGTTGCTGGTCGTCGCTCGTCGTCGCTCGTCGTCGTCTCAGGAGGGAGAAAACACGCAGACAGAACATCGAGCGCGGATCCCCAGGAAGATATGGAACACATGGGAAGTGGTGGGGAGACGAACACCCAGAACATTTGGGAACACATGAGGAGATCCTGAGATATATGTGTGCTTATTTGTGTGTCCCTGGGCCCTTTCATCGTCGTCCTCCTGTCGTCGTCCTCCTGTCTTCCTGTCGTCGTCCTGCCGTCCTCCTCCTGTCGTCGTGCTGTCGTCAGCGTCGGCGCAGGGAGCTGCCCGGCACCGGCGCGCGTCGTCGCTCATCGTCGCTCGTCGTCGCTCATTGTCGTCGTCATTGTCGTCATTGTCGTCGTCGTCGTCGGTATCGCTTGTTGTCGTCGTCGTCGTACTCGCTAGCTCGCTCGCTCACTCGTCGTCGTCGTCGTCGCTGTCGTCGTCGTCGACGTCGTCGTCGTCGTACTCCCTCCCTCGCTCGCTCCCTCGTCGTCGTCGCCGACGTCGCCGCTCGTCGCTGTCGACGACGTCGACGTCGTCGTGGTCGCGGCCGCGTCGCCGTCGTCGCGGCCGCGGCGGCGTCGCCGCGGCCGCGGCGGCGTCGGCGTCGGCCGCGGCGGCGTCGGCGTCGGCGCAGGGAGCCGCGCGGTGGCAGCGCCAGCGCGCGGGGCCCGCGCGCTGCGGGCCTCGGCGGCCGCGGCCTGGGCGCCGCGGCCGCGGCGGGGGCCGGCCGCCCCAGCAGCCACCAGGCAGGGCCCAAACGACGCGAAGATCGGGACAAAATCGGATCGGGATAACTCGAAATCTCTGAGAATCGGCGGTTTTGGAGGATGTATTGGGCGCCGCGGCCGCTCTCAGAGCGTGCCGGAACGCTCTGAGAGCGCTAGGGAACGCTCTGGAGCGATTTATCCCGATCCTAGCCCTGTTTTAAGGGCCCTTCTCGAGCCGAGGGATGCAAGGCTTCAGTCGGGCCTGTCCCTCCTGGTGGGGGAACATTTCGGGAGGGGAAAAAACACACAGACACAATTAATCGTCGATCCCCAGGAAGATATGGGAGAATATGGGAAGTGGGGGGGAAGACAAAAACCCAGAAAATATTGGAACATATAGGGGAATCCGGTGATTTGTGTTTATTTATTTGTGTGTCCCAGGGCCCCTTCAACATTCAAGAACAGTCAGGAAATAGTATGGGGACGACTCTCTGAATATGGTTTGGCCATTTAAAAGCCCTTGGGTTTTTTTTGCTCCCCTCCAAGATCCGCCTGTAGGGGGACACACGCCCGACCTGATCCAAGTCAGCGGAGGAAAAGGTACCCACACATACAGTCAGTCAGTCACTGGAGCCGCGCCGCACGGCGCATCGGCTAGACAGCACGGGATTGAATTCAGCAGTTCTAATGCAGAAGTTCTCAGTAGACGTATGGCATGGCATGAATGGCATGGATGTCTGCGTTCCAGCTCCAGTAAACGGGGCGGTCCCCTAGAGGGCAGACCGTGCGTTGAGCAAGTCGGAAAATGAATGAGGCAACACGCACACACGGGAAACATGCGGTTAATTAAAACCACGCAAAACGGAACAACCACGCGGAATGCGGGAAAATGCGGGGAACAAATAAATGAGGCACACACAAAATGGTGTGCGAGTCTTTAGTCAGAGAAACCCTGCCGGCTAAGAATGGCAGGCGGAGGAGGAGGAGGAGGAGGAGGAGGAGGAGGAGGAAGCAACCGTGTCAAGCATATCGGACGTGGAGGACAAGTGGATTGGAAATGGACACAGATCAAATGGGTACCGCCAAGGCGACGAACGTACGTCAGTTGGGACACGCACTGCTGGTCCATCGTTGCACGTTGGGCGGATCACCTTCGACGTACGCAGCAGCATTTGGAGCAGCATACGCAACGATTGGTGGCGGCCGATGCGCTTTGCGAGGTTTCGGTGCAGCAGTGTTCACATGTAGCGAAGATCTGGGCGGAGGCGCACGCATTTTTGAAGAAGATCGGCACGCACCGACGTATTTTACGGACGGTCACTGCGCGGGCGCGATCTTTTTTTCCGCATGGGCATTGAGGTTTTCTGCCATCAGGAGTTCCTCAGTACAGTTGACTACATACGACAGGAAGCGGCGCGGCAGGAAGCCCACGACACACGAAGCAAACAGAAGGCTTGGAAGAGGTGGGTGCATGACGCTTTTCAGAACGGAGCGGGCATCGCGCACCGATACACGAAGTTGCCAGGCCCCGCGGACAAGATACCAGCCATGGTGTACGCGAGTCCACATGGAGTCGCCGACCGAGAGCTTCACAAGTGGTCCAAAGTGTGGAGGCATCACGAAGCACCAAGGTTACAATTACCGCAAGAGGCAGGGCAGTGGGCAGCGCTGCCAGCGGTCACAGGGAAGCAGTTGAGCCAGGCAGCCTATACCTTTCCAGCCACCACTTCGGTGGGACAAACAGGTCTCTGACATCGGGCTAGACATCGTTGCTGCTTTGTACATGCGTTGCGAGGCTTTGGGGTATTGGCCGACACAACGTATACTTAATATCCTGGTACGCTTGAGCAAGCCTGATGGGGGCAGCCGTCTTATCTGCTTGGTCAACACGTTGGCCAGGCTATGGTCACGCTCACGAGTAGCAGTTGCCAGAGATTGGATGGATCGAGCTGATATTGCCGACACATGGGGCACTGGAGGGTCAGGACGCTCATCTACGGCAGCCGAATTCGACCACAGTTTGCATGCAGAAGTGGCTCACCTGCGTTCGGAGCATTCTGTTACCGCGCTGCTCGACGCATGGAAAGCGTTCGAGTCGGCATTACCTGCAGCGCTGCTGCAACAGAGCGGGGAGTTTGGTTTTCCGACACGGCTTACGTGGATGGTACTACAATATCATTTGCAACCGCGAGCCATTCAGTGCTGTGGGTCCTCGTCAACCTTTGTTCCTTCGAACCAGGGCATTCTTGCTGGATGCAGCCAGTCCACGTGCATGCTCACGGCGCTCACGCTGAAGGCCATTCGACAGCTGTCGTCGGCAACAGTGATTCCCAGAGCCCTGGTGGACGATGTGTCAGCACAATGGGTTGGAATCCACCGGGGGCAGCTTCGGAGCTACTGGAAGGCGGTGCGCGGATTCATCGCGGATGTGAAGGCGCTCGAGTTGGTGATACAGCCGAGCAAGTCAGGTTTCGTGGCGACCAGTACCGCTGCTATCAGAGCGTCCAGGTCGGCGGCGGATTACTGCAGTATACCGTCGCAGGCTCACATGCGTAACTTGGGACACGAACTGCACGGTCGGGTGATACGTAGAGGAGTAGCGGCAGGAACGGATGAAGCGAGTTATGCGGTTCAGACGTAGCGCTGGCACACAGATCATCAAGCTCTGGCGCACAGGGCTATTACCCTCTACTGGCCATGGCGCGGCGGTCAGCGGCATTTCGGATACGGAGCTGAAGGCGCTACGGCAGTCAGCGGCATTACTCACTGGATATCCTGGGCGCGGGGGCAGCAGCACACTATACCTGGCCACCCCGTCGGACCCATGGTACGACCCCATTTTCGAGAGTACCACAGCTCCTTTGTTTGCGATCACAGAGTGGTTTGGGAGCAGCGCTTTAGTTTGGGAAAGCTGGAAAGGGCCTATCAAGTACTACAAGCTGGGGCGGTTACATGGCGACAGGCAAGGGGCCCGCTGGCAGTGGTGTGGCTGTCGCTGGCCCGAGTCGGATGGAAGTTACTATCGGCCACGATGGTGCTGGACGATCTGGGAAGGACGTGGTCGATGCTACGGATTGATCCCTGTTTGCTACGGGACATCGTGTGGGCAGGCATACAACGATGGCAGGTGAGACGGATACAGGAGCACCATGCCGACCAACCAGGGGTTGACCTATGGGCACGAGGCATCAGGGCATGCATCGGACCCAAGACAGCTTCATTGCAAAATCATAAGATGACAGGCGCGTTGCGTGCATTATGGTCAGGACCATTGTGGACTAAAGTCAAGTTGCACATGTTCGGCAAGGCGGGGAATGGATTGCGTCGCGGATGTGGCGAGGAACCAGAGTACATAGGGCATGTTTGTTATAAGTGCCCTGCAACCAATCAGCTACTGCGCGAGAGCGAGGAGGAGCACCCGATGCCAGAGGAATTGGTCAAATATAGGGATGCGATCCTGCAGGCAGGTACTATACGGACACCATTGGTGACGGACGACTGCTACGACCTCAGCGTTGGCATGCCACTGCTCCCAGGGCAGTATGAGACGCACGTGGAGGATCCCAAGGTATTCTTCTGGGGAGATTGGAATTGCGACCCCGCGACATGGCCGACGTGGGTATTTACGGGCGGCTCGGCGATGCCGTCGAGCATACCTGAGCTGCGCAGGCGCGGATGGGCTGCCATGCAGATGTCACCGCATTGGCACCCTGCGAGAGCGGTATACGGCGGACTTCCTGGGCCACAACAGACGATAAGGGGCAGCAGAAAGATATTGTGTGCTCCAAGCGCAGCGGCACGACCCAAGGGCGACGCAGCTGGTCACGGATGTGGCAGGACTTGTCGACGAATGTTTCCGCTGGTCAGAGAAGGATTCGCAGTTTCCAGCACGACATGCGAGTTGGTGGAGACGCATATGCGAGCATTGGCGCAGGTCTGGCCGAACTCCCTTGCGATCCCACTGGTGCCCCTCGCATCAAGATCATGTGAAGGTGGCTTGCGATCCTGGCTCACAGCTCAAATTGGACTGGGTGCTGGGCAATGCGTGGGCGGACTATTTCGCGAAGGAAGGTGCACGTTCGGTCGGCTATGCGGAAGGCTATGTGAATCTGTTCAAATCGGCTATGGTGCAGGCGAAGCTGGGTGCACGTCTTCTCAGCTACACTCTATGTCGCGTGCTTCAGCTCAAGATCTGGGGTGACCGCGAAGTCGACGAACCTATTGTAAGGAAGCAGAAGGAAGTCGTGCAGGTGCTGGAGCACACGTTTTGGGTTTCGGCTGACGAAGGTGAGCATCGTTGTCGTGCGTGCGGGGTCCGTGCTATAACGCAATCTCATCTGGAGAATCTCCGATGGGGGGGTGCGCAGGCATTGTCGGCCTACATGTTTGCATGCAATTCAGGCGGAGGTGTTCTTCGGCTCCGCGCGAGGAGAGGCCTTCAGCCCATGGCGACGGGAGGCGGTCAATTACGCGCTGGCGGCTGCCACCACGGTGCTGGGCGAGGACGGCGATCACTACCGCCAGATGAGCGACGCCACGGGGGCACCGCTGCTGCAGGCGCAGGCCCACTTCGCGGAGCTGGGGCATACGTCGCAGTGGAGTGGTCAAGCTACTGTCTGTACAAGGTGCGCGCGGACAGCCAGCGACGTCACAAAGAAGGTGCTCAAGCTGCGTGACAAGTGTCCTGGGGCTGCCCAATGCCGCGAGACAAGGCGCAGCCAGGTTAAGCGTATCCTGAGATTCGCCAAGAGCGTGCCGATGGAGTTCCATGGCAGGTTGCACGAACTACTGTCGGTGCCACAGGGTGTTGCGGGTGCAACTATGGGTCCGTGACTGATCTTATCCCCATATCAGGAAAGGACCCTAGATTATAAGATGTGGTGGCCGTGTTTGGTGGTCTACCAGGCAGTGGGTGCATGGGCATGTTAGGCCTACATCGCGCACCTCCTGCGCTCTCTCGTGGGCCTGGTGCGCCTGCAGTTCATGAGGGAGGCCGAGTACAACCACTTCGTGCTCGGGTACTGAGAAGGCCGCGTCGTGCGGCCAAGGAGGAGCGGCGTCCGCCCGCGTTAGCGGGCGGCCGCCCAATGGCGAAAGGAGGAGGAGGAGGAGGAGGAGGAGGAGGAGGAGGAGGAGGAGGAGGAGGATGAGAGGGGGGCTGGGCAGCCAGCAGCAGGCCGCGGGCACATCTACTCTCAGAAAACGTACCTCTGGGCAAAGCTTCTCCACAGATACAGTGGAGGAAAAAGCCGCGGCGCTCGAGATCGCCTCCAGAGCCGCCCGGTCTCAGAGCTTCCCGATTCATTATCGCCCGATGTCTCTTCGCCTTGGTTCCGTCCTACGCTTGGGCCGACGCGGGGGTTGCTACGGGGATAGGGGGTTACTTGTGGATGCCAAGGGGGTGTTATATCTGGCATAAACTGGCTTATAAATGGGTTGCATGTTCGACGAGCGACTTCGATGGGCCAGCGATCCAGGCTAAGTGGACTCTGGCCCCTCCGCCGCTTGGGGCATTAGTAATCCATTTATGAGCCAGGTAAGGCCAGAGTTAACCCAGCTCGGCATTTAATTTCCCTACAGTGGAGGCCCATGCCAAGAAACACCCTGCCTGCCTCCAGGGTGCCCTGGGTTTCTTGGGTTTCGATGGTTTTGCGATGGAAAGCGTGAAGTCCCCACACCAAAAATCGATAAACGTCCTGAGGTCTCAGGGTTGGGTTTCTTATGGAAGGTGTCTTGTGGACGGGCCTCCACTGTACCGCTACCCTTCGCCCGTTTTTCCCTTTTTTCCTCCCGAGAGGCCCTCGTCGCCACCGCGGGATTCGCTTGTAAATCCTAGTCAGAACGCACCCCTGGAGAGGCCTGGGGGGTAGCAGTATTTGTACCGCTTGGTTTCCCCAGCAATTCGATGCGATTCGATGCCGACGTCTGCAGATGTAGGGCCGGCACCTTCTCAGAAGCAGCCTCCTTCTAAGGAGCCTTCCCCACTCGCCACCCTTGTGTGCGCGCCGCCAAACTCTGGCCAGCCAGGTTCGATTCGATCCCTGAGAGCCCGGCGTCGCAATTTTTGTCACAGCGGGCGTGTTCGCTTGGTCTCGAGAGCGTGCGCGATTGGAGGAGAAGGAGGAGCAGCAGCAGCAGCAGCAAGAGGGGAGGGAGGAGGAGCAGCAGCAGCAGAACAAGAACACGTCATCGGATTTTAGATTTTGGGGCCGGTGCCGATCCTGGCCGGCCCGACCCGACTCGATGCCGACGTGTCGACGGTCCGAGGCAAACCCGATGCTGGCGTGGCGTCGCTGTGCACCCCTGGCGCAGCCGAGCCGAGTCGATGCCGAGTCCGTGCCGATGCAGCATGTCACCACTCACCAAACCGCCCCAACCCAACCCGAAGGCTTCAATTTGCCCTCCATTTCCAGTTGGGGGGGGGTCGGGGAACACTGCAAAAACAAATGGAACCCGTACCCCCCCCCAACCCGAAATTCGGGTCAAATTCGGGTCTTCGGGTTGAGTTGGGGTGGTCAGGTAGGTAGTCAGCCTGGTCCGATGCAAGTGCCAGCCACGCGCAGAGGGGGGGGGGAGGGGGGAGGGCTTCTTAGACGCACCCCTCTGCTTCTTGGAAGGCGCGGGCCTTCTCTATAGATCTCGGGGGTGGACAGACCCCTCCTGCCTTGACACGTCGATTAAGGGATTGGCCGTGTTCGGTTCGCGGGAGCGCGGCGCGGCCGTCATTCTTGCGGGTCCAGGTTCCGTCGGTGTCGGTCTTGGGCCGTTTTCACTAAGGGGAGGTTCATTGAAGGGAGGTTTGTCCACCGCCGATCGATGTAAGGCTGGCGCCGTCTAGGAAGTAGCCTCCTTCCAAGGAGCCCTCCCCACTCCCCCCACCCCCGCTGGGGTGTGCGCCGCCAAACATGTCTCCGGGGAGGCCAAGCGTAGCCCAGGACAGACGGCCCACCTCGGGGCGCCCAGCGGCTGCGTCGTGGCGCCCACCGCGGCTGCAGCCGCAGACGCTGCGGCGCCTCACCAGTGGTGCGTCGTCCTGGGGGTCACGTCGTTTGGCCCGTCCCAGATAGCGATCCGATCCGAGTTGCGGATTCGATACTGATCGGCGGCGAGCGGGGGGGGGAAGTGAGGGGGGGCGGGCCTTCTCAGAAGGATCGAAAGTCCCCCGGCCTTCCGAGAAGTGTTCTAAGCCGCCCTCCCCGGAGACGCAGAACTCTTTCTCAGGAGGCGCGAGGGCTTCTGAGAAGCCCCGCCGCCTTCTGAGAAGTCCCTTCTCCTTCTCCTTTCCCCCCCCGCGGCTCGCCGCCGAGCTCGGCCCTTCCCAAATTTCGATCCGATCCGACTTGCCGATTTGATACTCGGATGCGAGCGAGGGGGGCAAGTGAGAAGGAGGAAGGCCTTCTCAGAAGGTGGCGAGACTTCTCAGAAGCACCCGCGCCTTCTGAGAAGGCCCGCCCCTCCTCACTTCCCCCCCGCACTCGCCGCCAAGTTTGGCCCTTCCAAAGTTCGAGGCGATCCGACTTGCCGACTCGATGCTGACCCAGACATGCGACGTCTTGCTTTTTTCAGGACGGCGTCCCTGGAAGTCCCGAGGCCCGGCGAGGGCCCCCCGGGGCCGAAAATACAGGCAGCCCGGATTAGTAGGTCGACCCTGCCAAATCGAGGGTACCCTCGTGTCCTGTGTCTTGCGACCCATGCCTCCAGCATGTCTGTGGCAACGTGGCCCCCGGAAGGGTCTTGTGTCCTCTCGCGTGTCCTCTCCAACCAAGCCCGACTGTAGCCAAAAACCTCCCGTCCTGATTTCTCCACGACGCGCTCCTGTCTGGGTGCTGACTGACCCCGCGGGGCGGATCGTTCGCTGACGGTCCCGAGGCCCGGCGAGGGCCCCCCGGGGCCGAAAATAGCCATCAAACTTCCCCGTCCTGACTTTTCCTCGGCGCGGTCCTGTCTGGGTGCTGACTGATCCCCGCGGGGTGGATCGCTCTCTGACGGTCCCGAGGCCTGGCGAGGGCCCCCCGGGGCCGAAAATATGGCCAAAGACCTCCCCGTCCTGATTTCTCCACGACGCGCTCCTGTCGGAGGAGGGGGAGGAGGAGGAGGAGGAGGAGGAGGAGGTAGGGAAGGAGGAGGAGGAGGAGGAGGAGGAGGAGGAGGAGGAGGAGGAGGAGGAGTAGGAGGAGGAGGAGGAGGCGTGCGACGTGCCCGTGCGCTACCTGATCCCGCCAGGGGCCCCGCGGGAGGGCGCCCGGCGCGCGCGCCGCGGCGGCGGGCTCCGCGGGCGGCGGCGCGCCCTCGACTGCTCGGCCGCGCGCCGGGGTCGCGGCGGCGCCCCCGCCGGCGGCCGCCCCGGCTCGGGGCGGGGAGCAAAATCGGCGGCGAGCCCGATGATCTAGGCCTCCCGAAAACTCCCTTGGCGACACCAAGTCGAACCTCGAACCTCGAACCCGAAACTCCCGAAAACTCCTCTAGAGGCCTCCTAGATGGGGTCGGAGCAGATGGGGTCTGAGGATCGCGCCGCATCGCCGATGCATCGGCGATGCATCGGCGATGCGGCTCGATGTGGTGCATACTTACCTCCACGCCGACGTCGCCGATGCGTCGCCGACGTCGCCAGTGCATGGCCGATGCATCGCCGATGCATCGGCGATGCGGCGCGATCCTCCGACCCCATCTACTCCGACCCCATCTAGGAGGCCTCTACAGGAGTTTTCGGGAGTTTCGGGTTCGAGGTTCGAGGTTCGACTTGGTATCGCTCGGGCGTGCGCACTCTTTGTCGGCGGGGAGGATTGAGGAGCATGCTGGATCGTCCTGCGAAAAAGCCACGCACGAAACCGAAAAAAACACAGGGGAATGGACGTCCGAACGATGGCCAGAAATCGGCGGCGAGCCAGGGGAGTTTTCGGGAGTTTCGGGTTCGAGGTTCGAGGGTTGACCCAAAAGTCAGAGGCGACGATAGGGGCGAGTAGCTCAGGGGAGAGCAATACACGTATTCAGGTGCGCCGATGATCTATGTTTCGACAAGGTTCCTGGGCGAATACGTGTAACGCCCGCCCCTGGGCTATTCGCCCTTGTCGTCGCCGCCGAAGATCCAGCGACAAGGGGGTAGTGCTACAGCTTTGGTGCAATAGATTTGAGGGGTTGCAATACGTCTGGGGCGTGCAATACATTCCGAAAGTGCGCAACTGGATGACCCTGTAATTGAAAAGGGGGAGGGTGCTCGCAGAACCTCCCTCCTTCCCCCCCTTCAAAGGGAGGGTGAGATTTTCGACCCCCCCCCCACCCTCCCCCCCTTGGGAAGAGGGGTCCGACCCCCCCCCCTTCCCCCCTCTCCCTTGAAGGGAGGGGGGGGGGCCAGACCCTCCCCCCTCCACCCCTTGGCGCTGGAAAGGAGGGGGGGTTCGCCCCCCCCCCTCCCCCCCTTTGCGGCGAACAGGTGGCCGGGGAGGGGGCTTCTCCCGGTTCCCCTTTCTGCTCCGGAGAAGGCGGGTAGGGAGTAGGGAGTAATGTGTAGTGAGTAGTGAGTAGTGCGTAGTGAATAGTGAGTAGCGAGTAGTGAGTAGTGAATAGTGGGTTTGCGAGTAGCGACTAGGGCCTCGGGAGTAGGGGGTGGCGAGTAGTGGATCGTGAATAGTAAGTGCTGAGTACTGAAGTTCAAAGTAGTGAGTAGTGGGTGGTGAGTAGTGAGTAGCGAGTAGTGAGTAGAGAGTAGTGAGTAGTCAGTAAAGAGTAGTGAGTACTGAGTCGGGAGTAGGGAGTAGGGATTACTGACTAGTGAGTGGTGTGAGTAGTGGATGGTGAGTAATGAATAGTGAGTAGTGAGTAGTGGGTCGTGAGTA